CATGGCATATCAAGTTGAGGCAGGACCAAACTCTCCTCCCTTGCATGAAGGCTGTGTGAGGCATCTCACTATAGGGAATAGTTTCCAAAAAGCCAGCTCACACACCAGTGACAGATCCTGCCATGGGCCTCACAAACATATCAATCTATACAACTGTCACCCACATGCAGAGGGTCTACATTGGTCCCATGCTGGCTTCATAGCTGTTGGTCTAGAGTCCGTGAGCTCTCTCACTAGGACTGGTCAGCTGTCTCTGTGAACAATTTTTTATATAACATAATTCTTTATTGATTTTTGGGGAGAATATTACATCATGCACCCCAATCAGCTCACCTCCCAGTCCTCCATATAATCCCTTTAGTCCTGCAGCATCCCCCCAAAATCAATTAAAAACAAAACAAACCCACCATCTTTCCAACACCTCTCCATTCATCCTATTGGCATTGAGTGTCACACAGTATACCCTTTTGTCCAATCAGACCCACCCACAAAATGCTCATTGCATTGAGTCAAAGTCATTGGCTTGGTTCAAGGCCTCTGGCAAACCATCATCACTGGACCCCCACAAAAACTCCTCTTGGAGTTTTGTTTCCCCAAGTCATACGATCCTGTAGTTATCATTCTGCAGGACCAGTCCATTCACACACTCCATCAGGGCATAGATGGGGTAAGTGTTAGGGTGGGCCAGTCCAAGGCCCAAGATGTGTGTCTTGGTGGTAGATGAGCTGATTGGCCTGAGTTTCTGGCACCACCCCTCTTAGGCAGGGGCAAAGCCAACCCTCCAAGACACATGCCACTGAGACCAGCTCTCCCATACCCAGGGAGAGTCACCTCTCCTGAATGAAGGAACCAGCTCTCCCATAGTGGGAACAGCTTTCCTGCTGCAGTGTCTAGGGAGGGGCAGAGTTGACTATCCTAGAGCCAGTGAGGAATGGGGGCCAGCACAGCACTCAGATTTCACCACATGGCCATGGACATCCTCACAATTCCCAGCTACAGCAGGACAACAGATAAAGACATGACCCTCAGCAGTAGCTCATACCTGGATGTCACCATGACCAACCAGAGGCAGCAAGGTGCTTGGACATTAACATGGTCTCTGTTGTCCTGTATTTTTAATGATTTAATTTTCAGATACTTAAAATGTTATATACTGTTAACATCAAAATTATACAAAAGGACCTAAGAAAGTATCCCTTTCACAAGATTTCCCTCTCATTGTCCTCACATTCTGGCCCCCTAGTACCCATTTTTTAAACTATGATAAAAATTTGATTCATCAGCAGGTTGTGATCACATGTGAACATGATTACTGCTTGACATTATTCAATTATGAAAATGTCATGCACACTATTGAGATGCTAAATATATGTATATGTCGGGGCATGTTTATCACCAAAATGGAAACATTCATCTGCAAAGTCTCATATGGAATTCACTGACTTCTGAGAAGCAGTGAGCAGATTCCATTAGAGAGCATGTCCACTTTCCCAATTATCTTTTAGGAACTAAGCCACATGAAGAATAGCCAAAGGAAATAAGGAAGTAAACAAAGAAGGGAGAACAAGGAGAAGGAGGAACAAAAGAAGGGAAGAGTGGGGGAGAAAGATGGAGACAAGGAGGAAGGGATAGAGACAAGGAGGAAGGGATACAGAGTAAGGGTGAGTCCACTGGGAGGAGAGGCAGAGGGAGGAAGGAAGGGGGAATAGAGGACTGAGTGGAGAACAGCTAGATAAAGGGAGAGTGCTGCTGCCTCTGCTAGCTTTTATAGAAACTATTGTTTGCTGCTCTAAGACAGGATACTTTGAATGGGTGAATAAAGTGTTTAATTTGAAGGAAAAGTAAGAAAGCAAAATGTGCATGTGATCCTCCTAGTAAGAGTGTGACTACTATAAAAAGAGCAAATTTAATTTACAATTACTTTATAATCCCTCATATGAAATTTATGGAAAGTATATTCATGGAACAAGATTATTACTAAAAAATGAGTAAAGATTTGTTTATAATAAATTATTTATATAAATAAGCAGCAATTACCCAACTTCCCATTTTGATATCTCTCTCTTCTTTCCCTTGTTCTGCTTCTTTACTGAAAATTTTTCAGCTCCTTATAGCACCAGTAACAAAAACCCAGATACAGATATTGGGGTTCAAGTTGAAGATCAGGGAAGCAAAGCAGCCAACCACTAGTTCTTACTTCTACCAGGGCTGGGAAATTCTATCCTCAATGTGGCTGAAGATTAATTCCCTTCTTGTCCTCAACGTAGATGGCAACTAATTGCCAGAATCTGAAACCCTGATCCGATCTCTCTAGTGCTGGGATTAAAGGCGTTAGCTCTGTTTCTCTTTTAGACTGATTCATTCTCATGTAGCCCTGGGTATCCTTGGGCTCATAGAGATGTATAAGGTTCTGTCTCTTGTGTCTTGGGATTAAAACTTGGTGCCTCCACTACCTGGCCTCTATGACTAACTAGTATGGCCGACTTTACATTCTGATCTCCAGGCAAGCTTTATTACATCATAAGAAATATATCACCACAATTCTCCTTTTGTCTAAACAAAAAAGAAGGTTACAACTAACATAAAAACCGTGTACAATAAGTACAATAATTATATAAAATATATAATGGCAATAAGTACATCAACAATATCTAGTCCATTTGCATTTGACAAATTCAGAGAAAATATTCCATTATCTATCCTATCTTAGTGAGTCCAAAAAGTTGTACCTAATTGAATTACTATTCTAATTTGGATTATCAAATACCTTTTAATATCTCTCATCTCTTTTACACTTATATCTTTTTACTGAGTTTCTTTTCTGAGTCTGGTAAACAAGGACAACTATAACTATTACTATCTAGTCTTAAACTCCCTCAGAGACTCAATAAGGAAATAATATTAACTGAGTAAGCAAGAAGTGTGAGCAAACAATTTCCAAAAATTGTGAGAAATGACAAAAATAGCTGGCTGCCTGGACAGTCACCTAAGGTTCTCATGCAATGTTGGGGTATCCATCTTCGGCCTATAGGCCTAGCATATCTGACAGACATTTCTGTGGAGCAGGATTTTTGGAAGACTGTTCTGCCTTGTCTTGGCAAGGGTTTGCAGTCACTCTTTTTTGTGTTCTGCTTGTTCAATTTGGACAGCATATTATCTGCAATCAAGGGAAGGGCACTTTCTTGCCCAGTGGCTTACTTTTGCCCCAAAGAAAGCAGACTCCATGTGGAGTATCCTCAGTGCCCATCATCTTCTCTTAAATATATTGGTGCTTCCAGGAGCAAATATGTCTCATTGCCATTTTAAAAAAGGAACCTATGTTTTTAAAACATCTTAAATGCAATATTCTGTAGATCTGTGAATCTGTGAAGTGTTTGAAGACAACCTGTCTATTTAAAATATATCTGCTTGACCTTGTTTTTTTAGCATTTTTTAATTTAAAGCAATCTTTTCTCATTTTACATACCAAATCCTCATTCCCACTCCTTCCCCTCCTCCTGCTCCCCCTATTATGCCCAAACCCCATCTATTCTTAGAGAGGTCAAGGCTTCCCATGGGGAGTCAGAGAAGTCTGGCACAACTCTGAGGCAGGACCAGAGCCTTCCCCCCTATATCTAGACTGAACTATGTATCCCTCCAAAGAGAATAGGCTCCAAAAAAACATTTAAAGCACTAGGAATAAATTCTTGTCCTACTGCTAGGGGCCCTACAGACTGCCCAAGCTACACAACTGTCACCCACAGCCACAGGGCCTAGTTTGTCATCATAGGACCTTCATCCAGCAACTGCTGGAAGCAGATGCAGAGATCCAGAGCTAAGCACTGAGTCAAGATACCAGAGTCCAGTTGAAAAGGGGAAGAATGATAATATGAGCAAATGGTTAAGACCATTTTGGGGATGCCCACAGAAATAGCTGATCTGAGCTAGTGGGATTTCACTGACTCTGGACTGACAGCAGGGGAACCTGTACAGGACCAAACTAAGTACTCTGTTTGACCTTGTAAACATATCTAATATGACTTCAAATTCGATCGTGAAAAAGGGGATACAGATATGATAGGATAAAAGGGTAGATTATTGGATCTACTCTGAAAAGACAAAAGGGCGGATATATATATATATGATATCATATATATATATATATATATATATATGATAAGACAAAAAAGATCTTTGATCCATTTGGACTTAAGTTTTGTACAAGGCGATAAACATGGATCTATCTGCAGTCTTCTGCATACCAGTACCCAGTTATGCCAGCACCATTTGTTGAAGATGCTTTCTTTTTTCCATTGTACAGTTTTAGCTTCTTTGTCAAAAATCAAGTGTTCATAGGTGTGTGGGTTAAAATTAGGGCTTTCGATTCGGTTCCATTGGTCTACCTGCCTATTTTTGTGCCAATACCGAGCTGTTTTCAGGACTATAGCTCTATAATAGGGCTTGAAGTCAGGTATGGTAATGCCTCCTGAAGTTCCTTTATTGTATAGGGTTGTTTTGGCTATCCTGGGCCTTTTGTTTTTCCATATAAAGTTGATTAATGTTCTTTCCAGGTGCTTGAAGAATTGTGATGGAATTTTGATAGGGATTACATTGAATCTGTAGACTGCTTTTGGCAAGATTGCCATTTTTATTATGTTGATCCTACCAATCCAAGAGCATGGGAGATCTTTCCATTTTCTGGTATCTTCTTTGATTTCTTTCTTTAAAGACACAAAGTTCTTGATATACAGGTCTTTCACTTCCTTGGTTAACATTATCCCCAGATATTTGATGCTGTTTTTGGATATTGTAAAGGGTGATGTTTCTCTGATTTCTTTCTCAGTCACTTCATCATCTGTATATAATAGGGCCCCTTTTTTCTTTTCAAAACAAGTATCCTGAATCTAATCTCCTTTGTTATGTTTTTTTCCTGACCATTATCAATAACAACTTGTAACCAATTCCCTTAAATAATGAAAAATACTCATAAACTATTAAATGACCAAGACCACCCATCCTACCTTTTGGGAATGTGAGCATCATACCCTTAAATTTACTTCCTGTTATCTGGGGGCAAGAGCATCTTCAAGGAATCCTGAAAAGAAAAAAAAATTGGTTAATTGTCAAGTCCTGGAAGAGGTAGCTGTATCATTTGTTGTTCAGTCCCTGCATAATGGAAAAGTGTAGGGCTTGTCTCAAGTCCTGGCTAGAGTAGTCTGTGAGGTATGATCTTCTCAGCTAACCATCTCAAAATTGTTCTGAGCAGTTTGGAGTCCAAAGCCGATCTTCAGTTGCTTTTTTTCAGGTTAGTGGTATTATCATAATCATGGTGGAATTGTAGTTGTGTTCCCCATCTACCTTTTGGAGACTTCAAAGGTTGCTGTTAGGTATGTTCACAGTTCTCTGCAGAAAACTGATAGACTCAAACCTGAAATCATGTACAGGAAGGTACATGAAATATTTTTATAGAATTAGTACTCTACATGGCAATTAATATTTTGACAAAAACTTTAATATACATATATATATTAACTTTATAAAGTTTTAGATGATATACCTCAAGAAAAGCTTCAATGAGTCAAAATGAAACCAAAGAATAATGAGATTAGTGGCAATAGCCTTTTAATTTTAATTTTTCTTCTGTCCCCTATAAGGTGGCTCTTCTGATATGAAGCAGAGATTTTGGATTTTAATTTAACAAATGTGCTTGGGTTTAGAGAAGGAAAGAGCCACACTCCAACTCCAAAGCCAGCTTTAATCTTTAAATGGAATGGGACTACAAAAGACCATTTGCATAATGTGTCAGTAGAGAAAAGTATAAACAAACTTTTAGGAAGATTCATGAAATTTTATGATGTTGGAAATGTGGTATGCCAACAGGCCAATTTACTCTTCTTGGGACATTTTTTTTCTGGATGATTTTTCCTTTTACTTCACATGTCTCATTTGTACAGTGGTCTTCAAATTCCTTAGTTAGATGCCTTTATTCTCCTGAAAAGACAAAAAAATGAAACTTTTCCCCAACCCTATTTTTGGGGAGGTTCCCTTTTGGCAAGTTATAACTGATAAAATGAAAAACATTTGTTAGTTTTATAGGTTAGATTAAATGGCCATGCTGTTTGATGAATTATCATCTCTTCTAATTAAGAGATGCCTCTTGTTTGAATTGAATCTGTGGACAGAAGTTTCTGCACTACATAGTCCCACCGCCATTTAGTCCCAAATAAACACACAGAGGCTTATATTAATTTTAAACTGTTTGACCAATGGCTCAGGCTTTTTATTAACTAGGTCTCTCTTTATTATTAACCCATTTCTATTAATCTGCATATCTTCACATGGTCTTTGCTTACTGGTGATGCCCAGACCTCTGGCTTCCTTGGCAGCTACATGGCACCTCTCCCACACTCTCTCACCATATTCCTCATCCCAGAATTATCCTAGTCTGGTAGACTTCCCTGTACTTCCTGCCTGGCTACATTCTGCCTGTCCATTGGCCAAAACAGCTTTATTCAGCAACCAATAAAAGAAACATATACTCATAGCATATAGAAGGGTTTTAACTTTAACATAGTAAAATTATATATAACAAAACAGTTATCAAGCAAGAACTACAGTTAATAATATTTAGTCCACTAGCATTTGGAAAAATTCAAAGAAAATATTCTATCATCTTCCTATCCTTGTGAGTCTAAAGTTTTATATGCAACTTATCTTTTATCAAAACTAAGGTAAACCATAATCATAACTATCTGTCTTCAACTTCATCATAGACCCCAAAAGGATAATATATAAACTCTAGAATTGACAGAGACATGTCACTGCCTGGACAGTCACCCAAAACTTCTCTGTAACCTTGGGGCATCCATCTTCAGCCCATAGGCCATTGTATCTGGCAAACTTTTTAATGAAGTAGGAAATTTGAAGATCTGTCTTGTCTTGTATTGGCAAGGTTCATCAGCTGCTTTCTTCTGTAAAGCAGTAACCCTGAAGGGCCATCCTGTCTCTTGAAAAGTTCAGCAGTTACTTTAGTTTGTAATTTGCATGTCCAGTTTAGACAGCATGCTGTCAAACAGTCCAGGAAAGATCAGTTTCTTGTCCAAATGGGTATTCCTGCCATGCTAAAGAAACACTCCACAACCAGTTTCTTCAATGTCCATCTTCATCTCTGATGTAATTGGTGTTGCCAGTAGCAGTTGTGTTTCATTGTCAGGAAAAACCCTAATAAACTATTTTAATATGCCATATTCTGTAGGTCTTTGAAAGGGTTTGAAGAGTGCCTATCCATTTTAAATATATCTCTGTATATGTAGAAAGCCTAGTTAACATAACTATAAATTTTGTTGTTATAGGTGACTATTATAAGAGACTACCTATAATCTGTATTTATACATTACATTTTTAAAGAGCTATATAAAAATAGTATCTAAACAAGAGTAGAAATGTACATATAACAAAGCTGACACTAAATTTGAATAATAAATCAAAATCTATACCAATTCAAAGTATTCATTTCTATATAATACTCCTTTTTTCTTTAGATTTATAACAAGCCCCATTTAAATGAAAACAAACATTCATAAATAATATTTGGGAATTTGGGTGTAATTCAAAATAGTTTCCCATTTAAAAACCTGAATAGGTATCAATGGTATGTTATACATACTTTAGTTTTCCAAATTCTACAAAATGGAACACATCCATCTTCCAGATTTCATTCCTCTGAGTGTCTTCTGTCTTACTTCCTTTAGGTAGTGGAGCTTGGTTGTATAAAAAACTGGGAATGGAGTGGGGATTGGCTGAGGGGCTGAGGGACCTCATGGGAGAGCAGGGGAGGAGGGGAGGGAGAGGGAGTTGAGATTGACATGTAAAGCAAGCTTGTTTCTAATTTAAATGAAAAAAAAAAGAAGCCAAGTAGGACATTACTTTATCATTTCCTTGATTTGTTGCCAAGTGTTGGAAAAGTCTTTTTGTTTAAAATTTTGCTATTGAAATGTTGTTTCTTTTTTAATGAAATACTGAGATCTCTGGCACATTTTCTATCAATATTTGATCAATTCCACTGTATCACCTGCTACAAATTCAGTGGTTTCAATAAGCAAAAGAACTCTTTCGGCATATTATGAATTAGTAACTGTGTTGAGAAGTTCCATATGATCCATTTACACCATAAGAATAGCATATTATTCTGACTTTTAGACAGAATTATATGGACTTAGATTCACTTTACTTAAATTTTCTGTCTTGTAATATGCCTTTTCTGACTTATTTGCATCAGTATATAATGTAGGGGGTCCAGTATTTGATGTTTCTCTTACAATTTGAGGAAGGATCCAGTTAGTTCTCTTTATAAGATGAATTGCCTTAATTTTGGGATATTTGATGTTAATCTTCCACAAAAAATTACTGTAAACGCTTTACCAGGGTTCACTTTCTTCCTATAATTATTCAATTTTATCATTAGTAAAAAGTACTGTAATTCCTGTTGGATCTATTCATGCTAATTGACAAAGTCTCAGTTTTCTTTTTAGAATCAACTCAAGGGATTTTTGGCCTAAGCCAGTGGATTCAAAGCCAATTGGCTTTTTGTGTGTGTGAATTCATGTCTCACATTGGGTGCCAATGTGTAACAGGAATAATAAAAACCCAGAGACAGATATTGGGGTTCAAGCTGAAGACCAGAGAAGCAAAGCAATCAAGCCACCAGAGAGATCTTACCTCTACAATTCCTGGGCAATCCTATTCTCAACATGAATGGATACTGCTTACCTTCCTTTCCTCAATGTAGATGGAGACTAACTGCCAGAATCTGAGACCCTGCTCCTATCTTATATACACGTCTAGTACTGGGATTAAAGGCAGAAGCTCTGTTTCTCTTTTCACTCTCATGTAGCCCTGAGTGGTTTTGAACTCACAGAGATCCATCTGCCTCTTTCTCCTGAGTCCTGTATTAAAGCTGTGCATCACCATTGCTTGGCCTCTATGGCTAACTAGTGTGACTGATCTCCAGGCAAGCTTTATTAGATCATAAGCAATATATCAACACAGTTCCTACTCAACAAATGTGCTCAACCTTTATCTTCCAAGTTATGTCATATGTTAACTTTTCATTTTCTATATTTACATCTCATACTTATATATATCTTAATTATTTCATACTTTTTAGAAACTATTTGTTTACTTCATACTCCTAGAAACTTTTTGCAAGCAATTAGAAAATTATTGAATTACTGTAGCAGGGGCAGATACAATAGCAAAGTGATCAGCAACCAATATCAGACATTAGTAGTTCGTTAAATATTAGTAATAATAGTAGGGATGAAGTCAGACCCTCATTTTCTTGGGTTAATTTTTATGATGTAATTCTGTTCTGTCACAATTATTCCTGTACTCCACTGGGAAATGATTTGTCACAGTCAGAGATTTCTTACATAAACAGAACAATAGGAAGCATCACACTAATGGGATTGGAGACACTCTTATTTATACAAATAAAAACATTGAAAGTCCAGTTAGATAAGTAAATAATAGTATGCTCCTAAGTAAACCTTTTTTTCATTTTAAAGTCTGTGTTGGTTGAAGCTGTGACTTGTTTACTTTGTTTTTGAGGATTCGCTTTAATTTTGGCAACGTGACATGAGAAAGACACTTCTACTATTTAGTAATATATGGAAGCTCCACATCAGCACATTTATCTCAAGCACGAAAATCAAGTTAGTTCTCTAACGATACCAGATGGTCTACTATCCTGGTGCATTAGCTCATGGTCTGAGGAGAATTTTAACACGTGGCAGGCTCAGAAAAGAGATGATTTCCAAATCCTTTGCAGAGTTCTGAGAGATGGCAATAATAATTTGACAAAGAAAAATGATACACATGGTCTTGGCATCAGCTTCTCAAGCTCAAGCGAGTTCCACCCTTCCCTTCAACTTAATTCCAACATTATTTCACAAAGATTGCTGCAATTTTGAAAAGGATGGACAAAGAAAAGACCTACATGACTCTAAACACAAAGACCTACCAAATTATAACTGCTTGGCAATGCCCTGTCCCTTGTCCTTGTCTAGTACACACAGAATAATAAATGAAAATATT